TTTACCTAGGCAGTGGGTGGCACAGAAACAGTGCACCTCAAACACCCCATGCCCATCTAATGTCCCCATCCCTCTTTCCCTTCTCTGAAGCCCCCCAACAGCAGCAGCCTCTGCCCTGTAAGCTCTGTGATACCCTTTTCTCTAGCCTTATTTTCATGCTAAGGTAAACCTCACTCTGTGCTCAAGTGCCTGAGGATCACAAAGATTTAGGGATCTTGCACTGCAAAACACTGTTAGTCACTACTGGTGAGTTGTCCCGAGCTAACCACACAGGTAGGTGAATCACAGAAATACAGATGAGACTAAAGAGACTCCCTGGGCAAGTAAGWGAAAAAAAAAAATAAAGTAAGCAAATGCTTGAGAAATACCTGCCTAGCCCACAAGCCCTGAGAATAGCTGAATAGTGAAAGCACCAGTCAGTAATAGAGCAAAAGGCCTCATTAAGAGAGGGAGAGCGGGTCTTTTCTYGCGGGCAACACCCATGTAACTTCAGCCAAATCTCACAAAGGCTAATGGGAACCCCCTCCACAGACTTTTATGTGCCAGTGCCTGAAATCCAGTTCTGASGCTCTCTGTAATGAGCCTGTAGGATGCTGCAAGATTCCTACATGCAGCATCAAAGAAATGCAGCTGTTTCCATCACAGCTGTTTATGAAAGCCATCACAAAAGATGCATGCAACTGCCATCTGAGCTTGTGCCAAAGGAAGCTCTACTAAATTAGATTGAGAAATATTTGGTTAGTGGCATAGACATATTTATATATAGTTTTCAGTGTCCACCCAGAATTTCTCATTTGCAGGACACAGGGAATGGGAATAGGAGAGAAGAAAAGAAGTCACTGAGTCCTTGGAGAGGCTGTTGACTTGGTTCAGTCATAACTATATTGCTGGCACTGCAAGTGAGCTGACACTTGGGCCATTCAAGGGCCACTGAACGTTTCATTGTTTAAGTTGAAGAAAACTAATTTTTCTTTTTGCAATAAGGCTTATTCGTATCCAAATAAGCAAGTTCATTCCTTCTTTCAGTGTATTACATGCGGGAGAAGAAAGGAGTGCAGAAGAGTCATCCCCTTAAGCTATGTTCACACTCAAAGCCTTGGGGTGAGCTGAGGAGGAGCCTCTTTTGGTCTCTCACTTCCTGGGAGTGAAAGTCAGGATGCAGGTGCRATTGTTCAGAGATATCTGACTCACTGCAAAGAAGGCTGGACAGAACAAGCAGAATCAGATATCACTATGAAAGCATCCTGGGTGGGTTCAGGTGATCCTGCTATAAATCACTGCCTGCATCTGAAAGGGTCAAACCCAGTTATTTCCACATCAGTGCAAAAGGAAATCCAAAACAAACTGCACAAGACTTACCCAAGGCATCAGAGGAGAGCGGAAGAGAGTTACATGTATTTCATACCACCACCCTGAACAAARAGCAACAATCTTGGGAATTAGGGATCACAGTGACTGGGCTCCTGGAAGATGAGCCAGCAGGATGACTTGATGYCAAATACTGCACACTGCCAAACGTGTTAATAACACCTGGTTGAGGGGCCAGGCTTCATCCTATGCAGACTTGTTCTTTCTCTCAGTATAGATTTAAGGAATGGGTCGACTGCTCTGTTGTTGTCACATGGAGTTGGGAAGAGAAGGATGTGATATGAGGCCAGTTTCTGGAGCAGGCCCCTCTCTGAAAGTATTATTCCTTYTAAATCTTACTTTCTAGTAACTTCCCCATGGGTCTGAGAAGACTCTTTCACCCCTCTGTTCAGTTCAGCAGGTCCAAGACTTGTGCTAAAGGCCTCAGCTACACTGCACAGCTAAGAGAAATGTAACACACAATGACCTGTGGGTTTCCAATTCTTATATCCCAGTTCAGTCAACTGAGCTACTGAATAGGGRAAAAAAAACAAAATTWAAAAAAAATAAAACAGAGATGGGGTTATCTCTGGCATAAAAGCTACAATTAAAAAATATGCAGATCAGCAACAGGGAAGTGAATTACCTCAAAGCAACCAGAATGGCACCTATTAGTGGTGAGCTCTCTGACATTTCTACTAGCCCAAGAGGCTGACAACACCATGTATGTTTGAGGCGATGTCAGTTTTTGTGTATGCTCTTAATTTCTCCCTGTGTATTAGGGAGTATACTGACCTCTCTCATCCCAAGGTTTTAGGCTACAACATCCTCAGGCAAGCTTGTTTACAGGTCAAATCACTGTGGCCTTCCATGAGAATCTGTCCTGCTTGATTCCATGGGTCCAATTTGGCCCTGGTTTAGCGACTTGGAATACAAGCAGCTTGCTTCAAACCCAGCCCCATCTGGTCACACTCTGTTATTAAACCATCTAAGGATAGATGGCAACAGACTTCAACAGAGCAGGCAGTCATCTGCTCTGCAGGCTYGACCGCTGCTGGTGGACAAATGCAAGGAGGCAACACATGGGAACTGTGGTTATAACCCTACCGTGGGCAGGTCCCACACCTGAAAATCCAGACAGACAGCTTCTCCTACTGCCTGATACCCACATACATTAGGGCAAGAGGGATGGCGACTTCTGCTGCAGAAGGCAAAGAAGAATGGTGGCAACTGCCCAAAAGCAACAGTCGCCATCCCTGTTCCCCTCTTCCCTCTGGTGGCTGCAGAAGCAGCAGGCTGCATTCCTCGCTCAGCTGCCTTTTCCCCCTTCCCATGGCAGGACACAGTTCAAACCAGCCCCTTATCCCCAGGGAGGCCGAGTTCAATTGGGCTACACGGCTGGAAGCCCTTGATCCAATTCCGGGAAATCCCCACAGCTCCACTGTACTGGGCAGAGACAACCAACTCGCATCATCCCCCAAGCTCCAGGCTGCCAAGAAACTCCTTTCCATGCAAGTCTCATCTGGCTTTTCAGCATGGAGCTCTTTTGACAGAAACCACAATACTTACCATGCTTCAATGATCAAGCAGAGGGCACAGGAATGTCACTGGAAACACTTGGCTTCCAAACACGCCATTGTTCTTCCATTTACCCCATTCACAAATCCTGACCAGACCCTCCCCATCAAGCCTTAAATGTTTTCTAGCAAATCCAGCAAGAAGCACCACAGAGCTATTTGATCTACCACTTCCCTGAACACACACACACAAATGCGCACGCACAGTTGCATGAAATCCATATGTTACAAAATTCGACCAATGCCTCGCCACGGCTCCCAGGAATACCCCTCATGGAGATGTTTCTCCTCTCTTCCATTGGACTCAACTCRGTCAAAACAGCCACAACCATTCCTAAATGAGCCCCTCTCTCTGGCTGCTGCTAGCTCCAGCCCATGTGGTTCCTCACACAGAGGAAGGTCATCCCCAAGYCCCCAGGGATGCTCAGGCACTGCACAGAGGTCACTGTGGTGGCCAGAAGAGATGAAGGATGCTCGGCAGGTGCCCAAGCGCCCTAATAACTTTTATTTCCCCCCTGTTCTGCAGGCCTGATGCGTTGCTTCACAGGGCCACGGGCACCAGCAGCCATCTTGGCTGAGGGCTGTGGGCCACCCCAGGGGCCATCTTGTGTCCCGGGCCCTCCAGGAGCCATCTAGTGCCCTGCAGCGCCGCGGGGCAGAACATGGTGATGGCAGCAGCGGGTGCTCTGCTCTCGCTGTAGGGATGCAGCATGACCGGAGCCACTCCTGCCGAGCCTGCACGAGTAATCCAAGAGAGAGGGAGAGAAAGGAAGTTAATGAAAGACACGTGATGAAATCATGAGAGTTTTAGCCACATCGAATATCCAATTAGGGCTATTAAGCCTTCGGGCTAGAGCTGCAGAGATGGTGCTTCATTCTTACAGAGGTCAGTACTCCCCCAGACAAAAAACAGACATGGAGCCTCATGAGTGCCCGGGAATCCCAGATTCTTCCTCTTTTTGGGCTTACCTCCCCTGGGAACAGCATCTTGTTGGCTCTGGTGGCCTGTCCCTGGCCACCCCGAGCTAGCCCACAGTGTGCCATGAGCACCCCATCTGCTCCCCTCAACATGCACTCCCCCAACTTTCCCASCCAGTATTGTAACCGATTCTTTAAAAATTGGCATTACTTTTGAAGCCCGTGCACAGCTTCGGATGCATTGTTTAATTGTTTATAGGCAGCATTTCAACATGCTCTGGCATCCGAAAAAAAAAAAAAAATCAGCTAAATTGACTGGGACCAAACAGGAACTGCAGCCTTGGCTGTGGAAATAGGGTAATAAAATTCAGCCCGTGGTAAATTTTTGCAGGATTGTTGCCTGCTTTGTTTTCACTATCTACAGCAGGAGGGGCAAAGAACAAGGAGCGCACAACTACTGAAGCGGTGTGGGAGCACATGGAAGCTTTTTCTCTCAAMATAGTTAGCAAGGAGCCTCTTTTAACACAGCTGTTTTGTCTAGCTGTCCGTTTCATCACACGCTTTAGGAAGCGGGTTCTTTGAGTGGGGTTTTAGAGAACGGTTTTGAGCAGCAGCTCCAAATCCAATGTGAGGAGAACACAGGGAGAGCACGTGCCGGGCCAGCCCGGGACACCAGCCGGGCAGCACAGTGGCTCTGCTGCGAGCAGACCTCCCTTCCCCACACAGCAACACAAGCTCCATCCTTCATTTTCTTTTTTAACTCCTTTCAGCAGAGGAGACCCTGTTGACCACGAGCACGGAGCCGCCGCACACAACCACCCCGTGCCCGGGCCAAGGGGGGAAAAGGCAGTGCGGCCCCACGAGCCTCCCACCCCGCGAGGGGAAGGGAGGGCGTTTAAAACCGCTATTATTTTTAGCGTGGAGGAAGGAAGAAAGGAGGAAATCTGGGAATGCGATGACCGCGGGGGGGGGGGGCGGCGGCGCAGGTAGCGCGGCGGCAGGAAGCGGGGGCGGGCGGCGGAGCGGCGCGGAGCAGAGGAGGGGAAACGGGGAAGGGAAGAGAAGGGAAGGGAAGGGAGGCGGGGCCGGGGCCGGCCGTAGGTGAAGGTTGTTGCAGTGTGTTCATTAAAAGACAGAGTTCAACTCCTCGCCGCTGCAGAGCGCTGCTGGGAGGCTGGTTTGGCGGCTAGCGAAGAGGGGGAAAAAAAGAAAAAAAAAACATAAAAAAAGAAACAAAAATAAAATTGGAGGAAGAGAAACTGCATATATTCTAAATAACTAAATAAAGCAAAGGGAGAGGAAGGAGACGGCACGGGCAGGCGAAGGCRGTGGAAGAAGAAGGGCAGGCTCGGCAGCGCGGCGAGCAGCGAGGATGATACGCGCCGTGGCCGTGGCGCTGGTGGCCCTGTGCTTCCAGGCGGCCGTCGCGGTGAGGCTGCGGGCGCGGGCGGGCGCGCACGTGGGGCGGGCGC